TAAAATCCATAATTTCAAACAGTTCCAAGATTGGGCTACTAGTTCAAAAGTTACAGGCCTTTGAATTTTTTTTCGAAATTGGTTTCTAGTCTATAACTTTTGATTGAGAGGTCTAATCGAAAAAGTACGAATTGTTCTGGATTCTACGCCCCAAAATTAATAAGAAAAAGTGTTTTCGCGAGAAATTTTGGTGTAGTCGATTTTTGGTAAAAAAAATACACTGCCTTTTTTTGAGCCCCGAAAAAAAAATTGTCTCAGATCTTATCATGAAACATTATGTCATTGCTAGAATGCTTTATCGCAAGACGATTCTGTTCATTTTTTGGTGCTTTTACAGCTTTCGGTGTAGTCATAAAAAAGACGGTCTCCTTCCTATAACTACGATACGGGGTCTAAACGCGTTCTGACGCATTCAACGTGAGATTACAGCTAAAGTATTGGAGATACAAAAAAAATGTAAATACTCTTTTTTATAGGGAATTTAGGAAACTATATTTTTCATGTAAACTATTTCTTCGTATCAGTAATAGTTGCCGAGACATGGGCAAAAAACTGAAAAAGTGTACCGTTTTTCCAAGATGGCGTCACGAGCGCAACAGATTTTGACAGGGACTTTTAGTATGTTCAATAGAAAGTCCCAATAAATGTGTATACCAAAATTCAGATTAATGTTTTTATTTCTCCAAAATTGCGCTAATTTGCCTGGACTAAATAAGAAAGACCTGTCACTTGATTTTTTCCAAAATTTCTGAGATGGAACTTGAATTATAATTTTAAGTATATGTCTCCGTTTCTTTTCAACTCTCACCCCTTTTCAATCCCAATAAACTACGCGTATTTATATTTCATTTAGTTTAGAGTAACCAATTGGAACATTACTGCCAAATCATGCACTAATATTTTGGTGTGGATTCTAATATTTTTCAACCCAAAAATTGTTGATATAAACAAGAATGTGCTTTTAGGAGAATAAATTAGCATCAAACTTATGCTAAATTATGGCAAGTTAGTAGGTACCTACTACTTATCTCTGTTTCATATTTTTATTGAAGGGTATACACGCACTGTTTACCCTTTGCTGGTTTTATTTATTGGGATAGCAAGGTAGTGCTAAGCTATTTATGGTATGTTACTTATCCCCGATTATATTTTTATTGTTTCAAATCCATTCGCTTTAATTTAAAGTTGAGCACCAAATTACGAGAGAATTTACGACCAAATTTCCATGTCACATTTAGCGATATGTTAGTTTGTGTTAATCTGAAGTTAAGAAGCTGTATATATTTTTGGCATTAATAGTGCAAATACATACCACCTTGTAAAAGTTTAGTACCAAACTTTGTATCCTAATCGTCGGTCGTTTTCTCAAGACATTCATTATCTTTCTGGCCACAATCACTGTAACACTCACATTTTATGAATATATGATGGGATGTTATAAACAGAAATGATGTTAATGGCAGTGGAAACGTAAAGTGTGATATCTGATTTTCTTAATTCCAACCTGTCTTTTTTGTGAATTACTTCACCACTAACACCGCCCGTACCACGATTGTGGCAGGTATTTACTGCACTTAAAACACAATAAATATATAAATTTATGGTGTCCTCATAAATTAAACCTTAAAGAGACCCTTAAAAATCTCTGTCTATTTATTTCCAAATGATATTCACTAATCGCTTGCTTTGCTTTGTATTATTCACCTTATTGTGAGAATTATGGGTTCGCTTTGAATTAATGCTATTATTGAGGGATGGCTGTACCGTGGATTTGATTATCCTGTGTTGGCTATGATGATTAATTGTTGCTGTGATATATCCCTAATTCCTGAAGTTATTATAGGGAAATAATTGTTGGGAACTCCGACAGGCTAGGAGCCATGAAAACATTGTGCACAATTTTAAGGCAGTAGACAAAATGAGGCATTTTAATTATTTTTGCTGCTTCAGATTCATTATAACATCTGTTTTTCCCTGTTTGATCATAACGAGTAAATTTTTTGTCCAATATAAACATTATTAATTAGGGCGTAACGAATTACAGCATAAAGCCCCATTCACATAGGTGGTAGTGCAGTGCTGTTGCGGTGCGGTGCCTTTTTATAAAAGTTTGAAATACGCATACCCATATGACAATTCACAATGACATGTGCAGTGCAGACGAATTGCAGCCGCGTGCCGAAAGTATGTAAACTTCAAACTTTCTGCACTGCACCGCACACTACGGTAGCAAGCACCAATAGGAACGCATCATGTTTGTAATGGCAATCTGTCACAGCTAATTACATAAGCTCTTCATAGTGTTTGCGCGGGTTGTGCATTTAATTTAATTGTTTGATTGATGGATTTTGACGATTTGCTGTTGCTATTGTTGTTTGTTGTTCATAATTTTGTAGAATAAAATAATCCGCACGCGCACCGATTTTACGGTGATTGTGAATGCAGATGCCAAAATGACAGCACCGACCCACACCCGCACCGCACACCATGACAACGGCACCGCACTACCACCTATCTGAATGGGGCTTTACGCCGCGTAAAAGTGGAATTAATTCACATTTCAAAAAGGAATTATAACTTACAATTTACAGTGTATCCGTTAGTTTTAGATTACCTTTCATTACTTTTGCTAAAAATTATATTAGTCAGGTTTCATATTTATCTGGATAGTTCAATGAGTTTTTCGATTAACTTTCCTAATTTTGAAGTCTCTTACACCATACAGCACTGACATTTACTTGAATAGATAGTTTTTTGAGTTTTGTGAAGAGATAACAGCCGCAGAGGAGAGAGCGGATGGATGCTCTAATTTCTTAAAACCGTATTTGTTAATTACTTCTTGAACAATATCAGCATATAGCCACTTTCCAGTTCTTATTTGTGTTTTTGTAGACATCTCCCGGTATTATAGATCCCTTTGCCCTATGGGTACTCAATTCAGGAGCGCGCGTCCCAAAGAACGGTGTCCATAACTTGCGCCCCAGAAAATTGCGCCATCACCTCCTTGGGTGGCGAAGAGCCTTTATGAAGCCATTTTTAGCGCATTTCAACATAAATAAAGGATGCGCTGTTGTGGCTACTTTGTCCGCCTGTTTCTCCGTCCGTCTGTTCGTCTCTACGGCTGTGTCCGCCTGGAGATTAGGGATGTATGAGATATATGCTGTGCGTATTTAGCCACATTTTCTCGGTCATTTTGATTACGTAGGATACGCCAGGCTCCTGATCTTTGAACAGATATATTGCTAACAATGCTTTAAGATTAAGTTGCATTCCAATTTTGTTCGGATATGATTTGCGGTCCTTTTTCAAAATAATATTATAAGAGCCAGAGGAAACAGCGGAATGCATTAGTTTTTATTATTATGAACTTTCAAACTTTCACGAAAATACATTTCCCTATATTTTAAGTCGCATGTATTACAAATATCCGACACACAGATACCGTTAAAGGGTGGATACAGTACCTTACACCCTTCTTTGTAAGCAATTTTCTAAGCTACAAATTTTTGCGAAGAAACCGATCATCAGCGTAGCATCCTTAGCGACACATCGGTGCCATTTCGGTGGAGATTATCGGGATATTACTTAGAACCACACAAAGATAATTTAACTTTCCTCTATTTTTTCCGAAATTGGTTTCCAAATAGATGTTTTAGTCTACCTCGCCCCTGATTTTTTTCAAAATAATTGTATTAGGAGCACAGAAATGATTTTCTAATCCTTACTCTCATGTTCTTCCGATACTGACATCCCTTCAAGAAATAATTATTTGTATTAGGAAAGAAGATAAATTAATGTGCAATACCTTCTCCCCCCATACTAAATTGGTTTCCCTATATATATACACTCATGGTATTTTTGTAAATAGTTAATTGTATTAAGTGTCGCAGAAAGTGACATTCAAATATCTGCTCTCATAGTCTTCTGATACAGCCACCTTCTCAAAAGATAAATTATTTGTACTAATCAAAAATAATTTACAAATCTAATAATTCGGCAATCAAAACGGGCAACTTTTGCTTTGTGATAACTTCTAAACGTAACAGAAACGGCACATTTATCTTTGTTTTTATGCTTAAAAAATAAGAAAAGCGACACGTATCGTAATCGTATCGTAATTCTATATTACGTGAGTACAATAAATTTCGTTTAATTATTTTGATTATTTTTATAAAGCTTCAACTCTGTGCACTGGTTTGAAATTGTATGTTAGAAAACCAGTACAATCAATTTTGTTTTAAGGTACAAGAATGGGAGACTTATTTCAACTCCGAATTTTGTTTAAATTACTATTTCTAAAAAGTTTGATTATTGGAATGAGCAAAGTTCTTGACGGTGTTAAAGTTTAATTTATTCGAACTTCGTGATTGGTAAAATTTTGAGTTTGTTTTGTGTGTGCGTAGACATTAGGGGTGTAGGCGGTATTGACGGTGAAAATTAAAAATCTTTCGGTGATTAATTATTTGAATGTTGATTCTATTTTTTATTTAGATTGTTCCTTGCAGAATTATTAGAGTTATTGATACGATTAAATTTAGGAGGTTGAAGTTTAAATAGACAATTGGATTAATTTATAAGCACCAATTCGTTAGCAACTTAAAATTCATTTGGTGTTTCGAATGTGCCTAATTACAATCTCGTGCTATATCGGTTTTAATGTAGCCATGTATAAGTTGGACTTTTTTCTTTCAATGTTGCTAACATTTTGATGGTTTAATAATGCCTCGTCAGGAATTTTAATTGCAGACTAATTTTATCATACCTCTTTAAATTCTTTTCTGAACAATAAATGGTTCGAAAATTTGTAAATAAGTGCGTGTATTCCTCTATTTTTTATTTTAAGTTACTTATAAAAGTGTAGGTAGTGGTCATTCGACTCTCTCACCTTTCCTTTCGATGTCTATGAGAAATGCAATGCAAAATGCACCATAGAATCAATAATACACTTTGATATAGTTTTTAAATGCACAAAATTATCATGTTTATTTTTCTTACAGGGACATGGAAGAATGCAACTCGTTAGACGAAAGCGTGGAGAACCTGGATAGAAATTCGTTGACATCGTTCGGTTCAGGAAATACAACGGATTCTGACAAGGTAGGACGTTATTTACTTTTCGCACGATCGGGCGTTTTTAAAATAATACAAGATATGAGAGGAGGGTTGTAAGTGATACTTACCACACTAGATCTGTTAGATCTAATACGTACTCCAATGCTTACGTTAAATATCATACTTCATAACAACACAGAAATATGAACTGAATGTTATGTAATACACTACGAGTAATAGAGGGCAAACATTTTACCTATTTCATGCTGAATGAACAATTTGGACAATAATTATTAAAAACGATAGGAATTTGGTTTTTTCAATTAAATTTGTAATTGAATTTTGAGAAAGAATTGACACTGGAATATTACTATCTACTTTAAAATTACTTGAAACTGAACTTTTACTAGGACCTGAAATTTGTGATGTCTCCACGATAGCAATTCCATCGTTCAAAACTTTTCGCGCGAATTTCTCCTTATTTTTAATAGATTCTTCTAAGTAGGTATATTACACTGACTAGAGGATTTCCATCGCGATATTAAATTTGTTTTTTGTATTGTTTTTTCCTAGGTCTACTTTTCAATGACAAAATCTCTTTTGAAGGGTGCCAAATTTTATGCATCCAAAATAACTTCTTAAAACAAATATCTGACTATCATATTAATTAATTTGAATATTGTCGCTTTGACTTCACAGACAATAAATCTTTTACGCTTCTTAAACTATTACCGGCACTATACCAATTGATAGTATCAAATTTTTCTCCAGTTGAATACATCGCACACGAACGATATAAAAATACGCAAGCTAAAGTAACAATAGTAAAATTAATTATAATATGACAGCCAGATCTTTATTCGTTTTAAGTTATTTTGGTTGCATCAAATTAGGCATCTTTCATGAAGAGATTTTGTCATTTAAAAGTAGATATAGGGAAAAACAATACAGGTAAATCCCTACGTCTATTTTTTAGTAAATATCACTGTATATCATGAAAGCCTACGGCTTCAAATACTTGTGTTAAATAAATGTGATTCTTGTTAAATTCACATTTTAACAGTCTTTATTTACTTAATTACATAGGCTTTCTCCAGGAGGTCTTTGGATTTCTAAATTCACGTTCTAGTATTGTGTGACGCACGATTACTGTTTTATCTTAGCTATTCTCATAATGCTGCTTATTCATTTCGTCATATTAATTCTTTCTTCCCAATGTCCAGATCCAGACGGGCGTCCGATCCCTCCTCTGTACCCGGTTATTTCTTGAATTGTTCCTCTATATTGGTCAAAATGGCAGGGTTTTCGAGGGTTACGAATACTACCCATCCAAATTTTTTGGAATGGTTTTCGCCGCACCATGTCTCGTCAGTAAAAATATATATTCCATCCTGTTTAATTGAGCAAATATTCTGCTCTTTTACAGCTATTGCTGTTGCTTACATTAAAATGGGTCTCTGCTCCAATTTCCTATAGGCAAAATTCGTGTTTTTTCCATCTAAAATGAAGCGTGTTGAAAAATCGTCCGTTTTATCAATGGTACTTTGACTAAACTTCGATAGTCATTCTGCGTAATTAGACCATCAACGCACGTTGCTTTTTAAACAAGAACGACACCGAGGAGTGCCATATTTTTCTGAAGCTACATTTTCGTAATGCTTTTAATTGTATCAACAGACTAAAAATGGAAAGGAAATTATTCCTCAATATTATCATTTTTTCTTACAACAATATATAATAATAATAATAATATATATATTGGACGATGCTACCTTGGATGGAACCCCAGACACGGTTTTTCAAGATTTATAAACTATTATTGATGCAAATATCAAGTAAGGTTCGGAGTTAAATTGGGGAAGATGCGAAGCATTTATTTTCTGACGTTCTTCTTTAGATTATAGCAGAATCGAAGAAAAATTAAAAGGTTTTTCAGTAGATATAAAATGTATGACAAAAGGATAATCCGTCAGTTCTCGGTATGAAGCCGCACAGATGAACTTGCTCTAATGACTTCTCGTTTAAACGTTATTCTCCCTTCTCAGCAAGCCTTATATCTACTTCGTCATTGTTACAGCATTCCAAAATTTCTTTATCTATTATGAACATACCCATCCTTTCACCAGATAGATTTACTGCGAGTATTCGATCACCAATTATAGATTTCTGTTGAAACGTTCACTAATGTAAAAATGAAATTTGGGAAATTGCAATGCTGCCAATCATAATTTACAGGTTTGGGAATTCGGTCTGCTGAAAAACTAGCTGTTCTTGTCTTTTTGGCATCGATGCATTCTGTGGTCGATCTTCTTGACGAACTAACTAGAAAACACCTTTCAATATGGAACCATACTTGGAAAAAGGCCTAAATTTAAGGAAATAAAAGGCAACAATTGTTACACTTATCTTCCTTGAATGTAAACTAAAAAAAGTTGGGACTATCCTTTAGTAAAACAACGTCATGAAGATTTGATAACGCGATCTCAAAAAAAATCCTCTACAAACGTTTTTTGTTAGTAAGTTCTGCGGAATCTGGAGCATTTTTGTATGCACAACCCGTACTCAATTTAGGAACACTTTTAGACAACGACACTTTTCGAATTGCAATTGACCTCACTATTGGCATTGTAGGACTAAAGTATAGGTTTATCCTGCGAAAAAATGGCTGGACGTCGGTTTAACCGACACACTTCGTTAAGCAACATTATTTCATTGACGTCAGCTGCTATAGATCCACCGCAGAATTAGAAGAAAAACCAGGTGTCATATTCTTGACAGAATAGCTTCCTAGCTGAAACCAAAAATTGCCAACATATGTACGCACTTACCCATTTCCCACAGTTTTACTGAACTCCATATTTGCCAACTTTCTTATTTGTAGAGATATTTCTTTGAAATTTTAACCACAGATGCTTCTAGTAATGGCAACATATCGCAAATCGTAAAAATCAGGTGTGCATATGCGCGCAAACTGCGCAATGCCAACTTTTTAATGTATCACAACGATGTTGAGGTAACGCTTATGTGCTTGTGTTTTCGTATGTTTGTCTATGTCCGTCCGTCTGTTCCATCGAGATCTCGGCCCCTGGGTCACCAAGAGACTTCAGATTTTCGCTAATTGATAGCTGCTATGGTCTATATTTGCCCATTACTCATCATTTACAATGTGTTACGCGGCAATACCCACGAGTGGGTTTTGAAACATTTTTTGGTAATAAAACCCGATACAATTTTTGTAGGTTGTACACAGGAAGATAAGATCTTCCAAATAACTCAATAAAAATTTCAGGTTACTATTTGAAAAAAAATTTTGTTTGCTTTTATTAGAGGGACCTACCATCCAAATTTCGTTAAAATTGGTCCATAAATAAGAAAGTTGGATGTTGCACATGCGCAACACTATTTTTTGCGCATGCATTTTGTTAGCTTTTATTAAAAGGACCTACCATCTAAATTTCGTTAAAATTGTTCCATAAATAAGAAAGTTGCATTTCTGCCTCGATTTCTGCGCATGCGCAACACGATTTTTGCGCATGAATTTTGTTTGCTTTTATTAAAGGGACTTACCATAGAAATTTCGTTTAAATTGCTTCAGAAACAAGATCGTTGCGTTTTGCACATATGCAACACAATTTTTTGACTTTGACAATTTTTTTCTCCGTTTTTTGATAATATAACCCGGCCCAATTTTTTGTAGGTTGTACACAGGAAAATAAGGTCTTCCAAATAATAGAATAAAAATTTTAGGTTGCTATTTGAAAAAAAAAGTTCGATGCCGTTACGGCGCTCCAAATTTTTTTTTCAAAAATCCGGCCCGTTATTTTTCTGTTCGGTATGCCTAAAACATATATACAAAATTTCAACAAAATCCGTCGAGCCGTTTTCTCAGAAAATTGCCAACAAACGTACGTACGTACGTACATACAGACGAAAAAAAATTTTATTCTTTAAAAGTTGCTTAAAATGGTCTAAAACGTCGACATTTGATGAAATTTTGAAATGTTCAAAAAACGGCTATCGCAATAGCTACCTACCACATGCTAGGAAGCTAAAAAGATGCTAAAATATAGTAATCTACTAGACCGTTTCATTTTCTACCCTTTCAGTATTGAAACACTTCGCCCTTGATGGGGTCCATCTGAAAAAAAATTGCTTCAGAAATTTATAAAATTTGTTCGAATAAACTCAAGAGAAACGTTACTGTGAATTTTTAAGCTTAGCTGTTCAGCAGGGAAACACCGCTCGTATTTTATGCACTATACTGCAACAGACAGCATTTGATGTAATTTTTTATATTTTACGTGTGTGCCTACGCTAAATCTATTTTATGTTTTAAACAGTTTTATTTATATTATATGTCCCTACTCAAAAAATTTTCAGAAAACTGTCATGTTTTCCGACTATTGTCTTATCCGAAATTAACAATTCTGTACCGAAGTATAAACGCTCCGAAAAAACCCTACACAAATAAGAAAGTTAGTCTTCAGCCGCCAGACAGACAGATAGAATAAGACGATTTGGACCCTGAATATATCTATACATTTTGTGTACTGTTTGTTTTCAAGTGTAAACAGTTTTGCGGTCGAGAGTTTTGGCCTTTTACTTTGTCTATTTGCGCTTGTTGATGCAATCGACCGTAATGGAAAGTCAATAATTGATTTAATTTGAAACGTTTAAAACTGCACCATTAATAATGCGGGAGCGCGTAGAATGTTTAGATTGTGTAACCTAATTAAAGGTCCAAAGGCGATGGGATTGGTTTTAATGTCATCGGGTCATGAAATTGTAAAGTGCCTCCAGAGGCCCTAAATATTTCTTGCCGGCGAACTAATATCAACCCTCGCTCGTTGCTGCTGCTGATGCGGTACGAAATTTAATATTCCTCGAAAACTAAATTCACCTGGAAAGGAAAATATTAATGTATCTATTAACGGTAACGAATTGGTTTATTTCGTAATTCGCAATTAGAGGGCTCCGTAAATAAATTTAAGGTCTTGGTATTATTATCACTAATGTGATTGTTGTGTTACGGTAATTAAACTATG